CCTCATCGAGTTCCGTTTGCGCGACTGTGTGCACGAACGCAGATGAGCCTACTTCAATTACCGCATCGATCTCGTTGGACACGCGATAGAATAGTCCCGCTGTCACGCCTGTACTGGTGGTCGTATCCGGTGTCGCGCGACTTGCGTGATGTCGATCTAGTCGTTCCTTGAGTAATCCTCGGCCTGGAATCCAGTTGCCATTTGGCAAAACAAGCTTGCGCGTCTCTTCGCTAACCTTACATTTACCCGTGTCAATATACCTTTGTTTCTCCGTGCAACGAGGGTAGTAATGTTCGAGACTGCCGCAAAAGGCGCAGTCATTGAACATTGGTGCTTCGTGCTTATATTCGCGCTTGGTTACTGTACCTTGCACAGGTGATTGCGCTGATGTGGTAGCTGTGACTAAGTTAGTGAATGACGTTGCCGTAGGCGCGCTAGGCGTCGCACTAGCTGCAGGCGCATTCACGGGCAGAACGAAATGTCCAGCTGTAAAGACGTCCATGAATGGGTATGGATCCTGCGGGTAGTGATCAGGAAATTTGATCATGAGGCGTGTGCGTATTAGCGCCTGAGTATCCTTGGGAATCCCTTCCATGAATATGCGATCGTGCTTGGCTTTACCAATGCGATCTTCTGCCAATAGCGGTTGCATGACCTTCTTGAATGCGCGAAGGTAGTTGCTTAACTCCTGGTACGAGGGCATCGTCTTGTTCGCGTATTCGCGCGCAATGGCTTGTAGATCCGAAAGCACATAGCGCCTTTTGCCATCCCATCCGGGATACATTACCTTGACTTCTTTCATGAACGCGTTGTAATCGCTTACTTGCGCCTCCGGCATTCCGCCCCATAGTTCTCGGTCATTGCGCTCAAGGTAGCGGATGATACCCTTAATACGATTGAGACCTTGTAGACCTACATTGTCCGCAAGCTGCTCGTATAGGTCGATAAAGTCAGCGAGGTTGTCGGTTGTGCCATCAAATTTAGGCGCGTCCGTTGTTCCACGGACAGGCATTCTGGTTCTTACTGTGGACATGACGGGCAGTTGGGAATTTGCAGGCGCAGGGATCTTGTGACTGACAGGTGCTTGGCGCGCATATGCGAAGGGAAGGTTTGTTATAACGGTACCAGCCTGGAATTGAGAATGGCACGCTGTGGGGTTTCTAAGGCTTCTTGCTTGATCTTCAGTATTCCCAGTTGTAGGAAGCGTGTTCTCGCGCGCGGGTACTACTGGCGCGTTAAGTGGAGTGTCGCTAGAGTCATCAAGCTCGCTTAGCGCGCTTAGCGCTGACAGATTAGAAGTATTAAAAGGAGGTTGATTGGGCGTGTGGAGGAATGTTCCGGGAAGTTGGCTTCTTGGGTTACCTATTGCTTCGAAGCCGTCGGACGACTCTTCCTTGACAGATTCTTCAGGCGAGGGCGTGACTGGCGATATCAGTTTTCTAGGCGCGCGCGCGAAGAGCGCTGGATCTGGTCGCGGTGGTTCTGATATATTGCGCGAACGACCGCGCGTGTGTTGAATGAATAAGGGTCCTGGTATAATGGATTCTACCGCTCTGTCGAATGTGGCGATGGCTTCTTCTCTGGCTATGCGGCGACTGTTGGGTCTGAGGCGCTGACCTTCTATCTCAGAAGTGTCCCTCGCGGTGGGCTCCAGTTGTAGATGAGGAATCTTGACTAGACGTGAAAACACTTAAAACAAAAGGGTGCTCAACAGCAAGACCGGGATACGAGACAATGACTCGACCCAAGGGACAACCACTGAGAGAAGTTCCTCGAAATAAAGTGGAGGGAAACTCTATGAGCTAGGTGGGCGCCAACAGGTGCGAGAAGATAACGCACGCGAAGGTGCGCGTACGCGAGGCAAAGGCGCGCGAGATGCGCGCGTGAGCAGGAGGTTCGAGAATGCGCGCACGTGAAGCGAAGGTGCGCCTTGAGCGTTAAGGGAATGGTCCTATTGAGGAGTGAATGCCCAGATGGATGATTGACAGGAGAATAAGATCTTATAACAAGTGAGGAGGTGATCTATACACTTTCCAGTACACAAAGATAAGGGGAAAGTAAGTCCCAGAACCAAAGGAAACCCTTCTGTATTTAAGAATGGAGATGGCGCGCTCCCGAACCGAGTAACCATATCAACTCTAATTATAACTAAGTTTAAATAAACTTTCTATAAGTAGCGCGGATGTCGGACCGAAGATTTTATTAGTTCAATGGATAAGATAGAAATAACGCACCAGTGAATCAGTAAGGACATGGGACGGATGGACGGACAATAGCAGCGAAGACCTATGAGGAGGCGCGTGATACGCGCGTGTGTAGGTAAGGCACGCCTAAGTGCGCGCGAGTTCGGATAAGGCGCGCGAGTGCGCGCAAGACTGGTACTTAGGAGTAGAGCTGTAACATATAGGAATGTATGGGTAAAGGCCGTATATTCGGCATTGAGACGCGCGAGTCTCTACAGCGTGTTAACCCTAAAGCTTTGAGTCAGATTCGTTGATTGAGATATGTTCCTGCGCTACACTCATTTAGGCATTGGACATCTGACTACCCTACGGAGGATCACCAGAGACTGCCTCAGCTCTGAGACAGTGGCGCAGGCGAGCATTGTAAATGGTAGTATCGAGGAAGATGTGGACCATGATGAAGAAGCTGGTGACAGTGAGTCTTATAATGATTGCGACAATAAGCAGGAGGAGGATGAGTGCGATGATGACTCGTTAAGTGATAGGGGACATGAACTTGAAGGATATGAAGATGACGATGATGACAAAGAGTCCGACTGAGCTTTCTTTCTAGATTTCTCTCCAGAGCTTACACTTGCATATTAATTTACCGCCTCCAAGTGAACACATGCTCAGCATTAGCATTTCAGCAAAAAAATTATGAATTGAATTTTGAAAAGAATAGTTTGTCCACATGTAAAAGTACTCGAGTTAAGAACTAGTAATTCCCGCTATACAGTACTGCGTATTTAGTCATGATGGGTTCTAAGATGTCTCGGATGTTTTGGCATCCAGCATTTCACAAAAATTTGATAAGGAAATATTAGTGCAGATGGACCTAGTTTTTCAGGTTTCTGGGGTCGTTCAGTTACAATATTAATGAGTGGTATGATACCGGTACCAGATAGCGACTGTGAAGCAAAAGAACCCAAATGGCGCTGATCATAGATTGTGGCACGCACTAGTCAATAGACCTTTTTTGGCGAATGTACTTAGTTTAATATCAGATTTTTCTTTAGAATTCAATTCAATCACACCTCATTGTACTCTCTCTTGTTGTGCTCGATTCAGTCCTGCTGTGTTGTAATGTGAATGCTTTCCTATCGAGGGACTTGAAATCTGCACTGGTACATCCAGTCAGGTCTGACTCAAGTGTGACATGCAGATTTCCCCCAACCTTGAGCCAATCCAGTGACCAATAACTCGCCACAATGTCGCAGCCCTTCCACCAACTTCAGCTTCCGAACAACACCATCTACGATGAAAATGTTAGCATCGATGCTTCTCACAATGTCACAGTGTACACACCGGGCATGATGACTGCACCTCCACAGGCATCATGGGATGGTGGGGAACATGTTTTGATGCAGCCCTTCGAGTCTGAGTCCGAGTCAGTGTCTGAGTCTGGCGCTGGCGCTGTTCAATAGCTGCCCGTCAACAACGACTCCTCAAGGCTGTACCATACATCCTTCAACTTTGATTCATATTATGAAGGCCTGCAGATGACAAACATGCATCCGCAGCCTCAACAGCCATCACAGTACTCCCAGAATGTGCCTACCATTGGCACTGTGGGTACAACAATTCAGATGGTGTATACTGAACTTTATGTTGGGTCTTGCAGAACCTAGCTGCTATTCGACCCTAAAGGGTTTCTGGACCAGGCTCAAGGCTCAGAGGAGAGGAAATATGATAGAAACTTGCTGATCTCTCAGACTCATAGTAAAACTGGTGAAAAGGTGACTTGATTATGTAAGCTAAGGTGCAAACATAACTATAGGTAAAACAGTCTCTGCAAGCCCAGCCAGGAATCACTCCCTACAGCGCCATGCACAATCAATTCGAGCCACCTCAATCTCAGGCTCCCGCTGTGTTCACCAATACCAGCATGCTTCCGCAATCGCACCTTCAAAGTTTCCACACACCTTCATTATTTGGTGCCATGCGCAGTGATGGCATCAATTCTGAAATCACACAAGGTTATGGTTTGGCCACAGGGCCCCTGCACTACGATCCTTCTTCTAACATAGGTTCATTCTATCATGACTTTAGTGAACCGGCCATGGTGAACAGCAAGGATACAATAGTATTGCCACTAGGCATTGATGATGAGCCTCATCGAGAGACATTGCTTGTGGATGAGGACATGACATTAGGTCAACATGTGGAACAACATCCACAAGGTACCTTCAAGTTCGAAGAATACCACTGGCCGCCAAAGAGGACTCGGAGGTCCAGAGTGGCCACGGTATGTGATCATCAGTCAGACAATACCGATGAATTGCTGATGGACTCACAGGGAAGGGTGGAGAAAACCAGCTCACGGTCCCAAGTATCCAGTTCAGCACCATCCAAAGCACGTGCTGTCGTTGCATCAGCACCACCCAAACCAAACCGCCTGGATCTTCAATACAACGAAAAAAAAATATGAAGCACCAGTGGATTGTCAGCTCTGTGAGGAAAGCGATTGCCTCAGACACTATTAATAAACACTGCCTAACAGACGAACCAATGAGAAAGCAGTTAGTTCTTGAAGAGTTAAGAGTGTCAGCAATATCCGAATATTGTAAAGATGAAGGTACATCAGCCCATACCTTTTCAACATTGGCTGAGCATTTGATTGCGCGTTAAAAGTGTTCACAAACGATTGGGCTGCCACCAATGCAGACACCTTGTACATGGAGCTATCTGCGCCATACAAACATATTATGGCTCAAAAGGATGGCATGTGCCCTAGTCCAACATGGATTCTTTCTGCGACCTCCACCACAGTCAACCATGCCTGGACCCGACCACCAGTCAGCTATAGTCGAATTCCTCATCGACAGCACGGTATTCCCACCCAGATTTGTTTTCAATACCAATCCAGATACTGAAGAGTCACACTTCCTGGAAAATGCAGTTGTGTGGGACATCGTTATCAATGCTGTGGTGGAACTGGGATTCATGCCCCACCTTGAAGAACTCGACAAACTATTTTGCGCAGCTGTGGCAGCTGTCAAGTGTGCATTAATGGAGCTCAGGTCTGGGAGATTTGTGGAAATGGAATTTACGTGTCAGGCATTTGGAGACATGTACATATGAGGCACTGACAAACTATATTAGTGAGCATGTTGCTCACAACCCAGTACTACGTCAGTGTTGGAACCAGTACAAGGTCTGGACTCTTCAGAGGCTGCATCAGATTGTACCACCACAGTGACTGCACTGTTCTTGTACCTACGTCAATTCATCTGCCCTTAGCTTGTAATCCATAGGTAGCAAATCTGGCATGTACTTGTACCTTTAAATCTGTATAATGCTCTGCAGCCCTATTTTGAATAGAAAGGTGATTGATTGCATGGATTGTTTTGAGCTTCTGCCCCCATAGGGCTAGATAGCCTCAATCACATTACAAATTGAACAGGAGCGAGGAGACCCTCAGCTCAAGGCCAGAAGGTCACTACCACCTGATGTAGGAGATGGGACGTGGGAGTAGAAACTTCCACAAGACCAGATGGTCTGAATCCTAGTGTGGGCGGGAGCGAGGAGATCCTCAGCTCAAGGCCAGAAGGCCGCTACCGCCCAATGTAGGAGATGGGACGTGGGAGTAGAAACTCCCACAAGACCAGATGGTCTGAATCCCAGTATGGGTGGGAGTGAGGAGACTCTCAGCTCAAGGCCAGAAGGCTGCTACCGCCCCATGTAGGAGATGGGACATGGGAGTAGAAACTCCCATGGGAGTAGAAACTCCCACATGACCAGATGGCCTGCCAGTGAACCCCGGTGACTTACTAAGTGGATTGCAAGTGCCACCGGAACCTTGTCACAGTGCATGGTAGTTAAAAAAACTAATGAATAAACCTGTTCTTCATTAAATTGTGCGCCAGGTCAGTACTAGACTACTAGTACTCACTTACTTAGAGGATGCTCAAGACCAGACTCGTATTACTATATACGAACTGGTGATAGTGGCCGCTGGCAGAATGAGTCGGAGCTTGAAGTACATAAGTTGAACTGCGTGACCGATGGCATGTCATGTCACTAGATACCCTGACGATGGATCAACTTTGACTCAGAAAACATCATCTTTTTACTGCAGGAAGATATGACTGTTAATGAAGGCAAAGTTCATGGAGCGGGGTGAGTGCTAGATCACTCTTTTTGGGTCTTCCACTTCTTATATCCTTTTATTGCAGGAATATATGATTGTCGATGATCAAGTTGATGGATATGTGATGGAGATATACATTCACTCGGTTTGTGCATTCCACTCAGTGCGGCCATCCATTTCTGATGTCCTTTTGACACAGGAATATATGGAGATTGACATGTGATATACCATAATAACCTCACATCTTAGCATCTGGAATTTGCATCTGTACAATATGTACGAAGTATTGTCAAACAGTTGAACAGTTATGGTACTAATTCTGGCTTGTAGCAAGTGTTGCAATGCAACATTGTATTCTATGGTTCAGAATGATTCGTTCTAAGTTGGTGTGTGATTACAAGTGTTACCTTGCCTTGCTTCAATGCCCTGTCTTACCATTAGCACAAGCAGTGAACAGATGGCACACAACCGTCAATGACATAACACAGGAGCCTTGTAATGACAAAAGCGCTTTGGGCTGAAGTGTGGTATCTAGGGTAAGTTTCACTGCTGTTGCACCCTTGGTGACTTTGAAATAAAGGAATCACCCGACCTTTGCAGCAAAGTTCATTCCTCGTTCCATCTCAGACACAATGGGGGAACAAGATATCTAACTAGTAAGGTTGTCACCTCCATTTGACCTGCACACTGATGTGACTCACCAACAGGCAATGTGCCGGCCTGAATAAATTTCTCTTTACGATCATGACGGCACTTGCTTGAGCTTAGGCACTGCCCTCTATGCTGAAATCACCAACACACTGATCATTTCTTCAGCCCAGGTGCGCAAGCGTCTGACATCGGTATGATTCCAAGACTTCACAAATCCTGAAGCCAGGCTGGACTCGGAGCTGCAAAGGTTCATTTATTGAAATTGTTTACATGTGTATGATCGCGAAAGTTCATTCTGACCTCCGAAATTTGTACAGGCCAAAATAGGGCACCCATGCTAGCCCTGATGTTATTCTGTCATTTGACATATTCCAAATTTGAGATATTATTTTAGGGTCAATCCTGACTAGCCAGCATATAAGACGCATGCTGGTTAGTTCTATGATCCCTCATCTCGCACCTTCTCCTCATACCTTGCCCAAGTATCTCACTGCATTTACCATTCCCTTCATATCCCTGCTTCATGTCGCAAATTGAGGGCAGCTCGCTCACCAACGGCACTCAGGACCAAGGCAACCCATCACAGATCGACTCGCAGGACGTGCGGGGCGAGGGCAGCCATCAGCCAGAAACGTCCAATTCTGTAGCAGAGGCTCGCCAGCGACGGAGAATTGCGCAGCTAGAGGAGAAGCTAGAAGCCCTGGAATCGGGTCGCGCAGTCAGAGAAAAGTATGACAGCTGATGTATGTATTTAGGTCAGCTCTGCTCACTATTTATCAGACAGATGAACTACTATGTGGCTCAAGGAAGAGCGGTCAGGCATGTTATTTCCCTATTCAACAATACTGAGGACCTTGTTGCGGAAAACGACAGATGGTATGAGGTTGATGAGGATGCAGACCATACCCTCGAGTAAGTATTTTGCCCTGAATTCCTGGACACCTACTTATGAATTTGTGTATTCAGTCAAGATCGGCTGCAAGTTGGGTACATCACCCTCATGAATACCTTGCAGTGGTTTCATAATAAGGGTTCACAAATGGAGTATGACTGACTATGCACAGATGTTAAAAATGGTTGCATATAACTGAGTCAACAAATAGGTTGATCACGCTGAGCAGTTTTATATAGCTTCGACAGGGGGCTGATGGCGCCTGAGGGGACAATACCTCCAAACTCAAAGCTCTTGTTTCTGAGTGGGTCAACTGTGAATTCAAGCCAGATCCCCTGGTTGATCCAGACGATAAACATACCCACAGGTTCATCAACGATGGGTGTGGAAGATTGCTCTGCCCAGCTGAGCTTAATTGGAATGACCCAGCGTATGTGGTGTACTTGTAATCCCTAGAAACTGTTCTCACCTTGTACCAGCGTAAGGGCAGGGATTTGTGATCACTCAGACAGCTATTTTGTTACAGATCTATCCTTTCCAGCCTTCCTGTATGAAAAATATGCCTCCAATCCAGATGATCTGGAGGAGGGCCTTTTCAAAGGCAAAATTCTCCTTCAAGTAGTGCAGTCAGGTAGCCTGAATGCAATCTCACTGGTGTTTTTAGAGTTACAAAGCTGTGTTCACCTTGCCTTCCTCAGCCAAAGCTATAGAAGGTGATGGTGATGGGGCTGATATCATTGAGAATAACAGATGCACTAGGAAAGCTTGCTTCAGGGCTGGTAAAGTCAAGAAACATGTAGCACAAATCATCAAGATGGAAAAAGTTACTCCTCGCTCAATCACATACATTGTGTGCCAGGTAAGCCAGTTCGTTTTTGGTGATGTAAATAGTAGACACTTAACCGAGCTGATAGGTGTGATTTGCATTGTCCTCTATTAACTCCTGGTGGTCCATTGATGGTGACTTTGATTATGTCCAATTCTGGCGAACCGTTGTGGATTTTTTTGAAAAGCCCCCAGGTCGAGAAGCTTGGCGCAGGGTTGACAAACTCCTTGAGTGGTGGACGAGGTGCGCTATTTCCAATTCAAACTAACCCTAAATAAACTCTACTGTCTAGGAAAGTCTTTGGAAGGAGTTGTCACAATGATCTCAGTAATGCGGCAAAGGCCAACATGTCTGTCAATGCCCTTGCAAGGCAAAGGGCACAGCATGATGATGCCCTTTTTGATTCACTGTAGGGCTCTATTACCATCATAGTTTTCTATTACTGGGTTGCTATATTAATGACGTGCATTGGCTAATAATTTGCTTAATGTGAAATATATGAATGATGATAAATGATTTGCAGAGTCTGGGCTCCTGGCAGTTTGTAAGTTGAATCGAGAACACATTGCTATTGTTGGCGGACTCACCCACTCACATGTGATAGGTTGGATCCAGGGAAGCCAGCAACATTGTGGTGGGCATTGCATTATGTAGTGTTCATGCGAACATCACCGACTAGGCTCAATAGAATGAATCGAGAACACACTGCTATTGTTGGTGGACTCACCCGCTCGCGTGTGATAGGTTGGATCCAGGGAAGCCAGCAACATTTTGGTGGGTGTTGCATTATGTAGTGTTCATGTGAACATCACCGACTAGGCTCAATAGAATGAATCAAGAACACTCTGTTATTGTTGGCAGACTCACCCGCTCGTCAGAGCAACGATGGCAATATCTGAATTCAATGTCTGAATTGTCCCAACGTTGCGCTAAGAACATCAATTGAGCAGCAGTTCGGCCAATCGCCCACCTGTTTGGATTTCATGCATCCTCCTGCTGGGGAAGGTGTGTTGCAGTGAGTAAATGCAGTGTGACTGTAGCAACCACAGGACAGAAAGCATGGACATGCGAGATCAATGCAATTGACAGATAGGTAGACAATGTCCTCAGAGTATGCAAAACAGAATACTATTGTCAGTCATTGAATAAACGCAGAAGGTTGTGTGTCAACTCGAAGCAAGATATAAATCATCTCTTGCTCACCTGATTTAAAAATTCCTGCTGATGTTTATAGGTGAGCCTTTTCATATAGATTCCCAGCTAATGTTTACTTGACGAACATGTGTCCCCGACCCCGAGTTCGAAGTCGAGGTACATTGCGATAAAAATTGATTGTCGCCCACTTGTCAAACATAGCCCAGCTGCCATTGAAGGTATAACATAGTATGCAATCATTAGTCATTTGAAGAAAATAACATTGATAATGGCAGCAGAACTCAAAATTCAGGCTCGCTCACTCAGTGAACAAGTACCCATTGCCCGGAAGATACAAGCTTTTACTCTAACATGTAAGATCATCATACAGTCGACGAAAATCGGCAATCTCAAAAAGGTGGTGTTAATAGCTGAAGCAGGACACAAATTCTTCTATATTTGAGTTTGAGCGATATCAAGATTTTTTCTAATCATCAATCATTGTGAGGGGATGAGGGAGTGGCCTTTCCTTTATAAACCCAACTATAACAATGTGATGCTCGATAGCAGAATTGTGCTAGTTCTTGTGATTATGTGCTATATATGGTGATATATGGCCTTTTAATTTCTTCACCAGTTCACTGATGTCATATACACACTAATAACTACAAGCAACTAATATACTTATATCATAGTTCTCCACTCACTCTTATCTGCATGCATCCTGATGCCAAGAAGAAGACCAATGGCCTAGCTCCCGTCACATCTGAGGTTATAAACACAATCTTAAATGATCCCCCCTACTGGAGACTTAAACAGATTGTGATGACAGTCAAGTTTATTGCCAATGCAGTTGGCAACCTTGAGTTGCGCCAAGCCTCCCTGGCTGACTGCATGCTAGAACTTCTTCACTGCGCCAAACAGATGTCCCAGTTGGCTTGCAAACAGGATTATCATGTTGGCTTTTGGCTGCATGCGAGATCTGTCTTCAACCACCGATTTCACACCATGAATACAGAAGTTCACTCGCTCGCTCTATTTCTCCACCCAATGTGTCGGAAACTCGCTGTCACACAGGTAGCCAAGGGCAGGTCCCTCACATTCATGGTTAAGATTGCACTTGGTATTGCAAAATGTTGGAAATGGGACATAATGATGGCTAAAAAACTCTCTGATGATCTGCAGGCCTACAATCAGTCAGTAGCTTCATTTGCTGATGGCCAAGCAGACGGCCTTTCTTGGTGGCAAAACCTTCCAATCAACTCTGAGATCCACCCTCTCAAGGCCTTTGCTGTCACGATTCTCTCAATTGTAGGGCATGCAGATGAAGTAGAACGCACATTTTCTGATCTCAGCACAACACAATCTGCACGACAGTGTAATCTTTCAGTTGAAACATTCGAGACATTTGGAAAAATTTGTGCGAACCTTCGACACCACAGTGTCATAAAAGCCACAGAGGCTGGGAAGTCCACTCGTCATCGACATGCTCACATGCACACTCATGAAGAGGTTGGCATTGCTGTTGAGACCACACAGGATCTTGAAGCATATTTACATGGGCACCTACGCTCTCGGCTGAACCTCATGATGCAGATGACCTGCTTGCTGGTCCAGAGAGTATCTCACCTGACAATGTTGCTGCTGAATTTGCAGCTCTCGAAGAATTGAAGTGGACAGAAGAAGTTCATGACATTGATGAAGTTGAAGTGCTGGAGGGTAATGTTTTTGATTTTGACGAGTTAGATCGTGTCGAGCATAGTGATGGCCAGGTCCGGTTCTGAACTGCGGTTCGAACCTGAACTGTTTCGAACCTGACCGAAGTCCGGTTCAAGGTTCAGGCAATAGGGAGGACCGAACTGTTGGTCCGGTCCACAGTTCGGGGACTTGCAGAATTGCAGAACCTGTTCTGAACCTGTTCGAACCTGTTCGAACCGATGGCAAGTCAGTATGTAGTTTTAGTGTAGTACTTATAGGTGGAGATGACAAAATGTTTGGTATCCATATCATACATAATGCGAAAAGAACAGTTCAGAATGCATCAGCATAAACGAGAGTCCATGGAGATATCCAAAGGCATGTGATTTGTGAAGGATGAGAAGATCTATTTAGGATCGTCCAACTCCCATTGAAACCATAATTCTCAAATATTCAACCAGTACTAGTATGATTTTATGCTAGCATTAATTGTCTTCCCGCCTCCTTGATTTTAATGCCTCTAAATATCTGTTCTCTATCCACCAACTACACATCTTCCACCGATCGCCAAGATCACGAGTTTCTCTGTCACCCAGCTTCTTGATGCCTTGACTCATTTACCGTCACTCTACTATCCAGAAGTCCGTGGCTCGTGTCGCAAACATGTGCAGGTGCCTGTATCTAATGGAGAGCAAAAGTTATGCCTTCATCATGAAGATGATAGCGAACTCCAAGCTATCTGATCTGACACATTTGAGCGCTCATATTCCATTCGGTGGCTTACCACTCTAATCGCACAGCTCAAGGTCTGGCAATACTTATCGCACTCTAAGGAATTCTCATTGGATGATCTTGGGATGCCAGAGCCTACCTTGGCTTACACAGAGATACTGGTCCAACAAGCTGCGTCACTACTCGTGATTTGTGCCGGTGTCGCTGCTGCTGGAATGATCACCCGTAACTTCATTTTTGGTTCAATAGATGGGCAGAGGCGAGTGGAAGCTCAGCTCACAGATATTCCGCTGGACAACAATGACTACGGGAGTGTGGGAGCGCAGACATGGGGCAGGGCATGTGTCTTGGCAGAAATGATCATGTAAGATCCTGAGCGGTTTGGACTGGATTCTTCCTCTCACATCCTTGAATCATGCAGGCTCAATGTCCTTGAGCTCAGAGCAGGAACAGGGTTGGTTAGCTTAGTGGTTATGAAATTACTGGATGCATTGCTGTCTTTCAACCATCGCGAGGTTCATTTCCATCCTTCTGTGCTAGCCAACCTCAGGTCAAACATTAACGCAAATGTCTCCTCCATGCACTCTCAAATTTGGATTTGTTGATTGCAGCATTCTGTGACAACACAGATGATGTGGATGGTGAACTGGTCTAGTAGCATTTAGTATTACATGATGTTGTTGGGCGTGTTTCAATATAATTTTTTCTTGACGAAATTTTTATTAGTTTGGATGTTCTCGGTTCGAACCCTCACTGAACCAGAACCGGACCATTTTCGGACCGAACCGATGGTCCGGTCCACGGTTCTCCTAATTTCCTGGAGAACCGGACCGAACCGGACTTTTCCATCACTAGTCGAGCAAGGGATAATACCACAGGCTATTCTGGATGAGGTTGAGGTGGTCAATTACGACGGCGAGGATGATGGATGGGACGAGGCAACTTTAATGTCTTCATTAGGAATGTCGTTCACGTAGCTCAAAGTTTTGCCAGTTCTGCCGGTTGCAACCGGCAAAACTGACCTCAAAGTAGTTTTGCCCCCCACACTATCCCTGACGCCGGCGGGAAGTCACGTGATGCATCAAAGAATACTGAGCTTGTAGCAAGGATTATCAACACGTTATGTACTCTTCGTTCCGCCGTTATATGTCTGCCTCTTTATTACCCAAGAAAATTGTAACATATGGGATTGCTTCCAGCAGAAAGGCTACCAAATCGCATAGGCCTGTGCACCGCCAATTTGGCACGCTGCTGACGTCCTCACCAGGCTCTGTCCGCCTGCGGCAACGGTATGCATCCCAAACCCCTACCGCCTTGCGTAACCTCCACGTCCGCGCCATTTCATATTCTTCTATACCTCGGTTTGTTGCCCGAGCATTTCGTGTACCGATAGCTGGTGCAGCTCTTGGTGCTGGTGGGCTTGGTTACGCCAATTACAAGTTTGAAGGTAAGTTCTCGTACGTGATATGACTCCTGTGTGTTCATCTTATTGCGACAGAACTACGCAACAAGTCGACTGCCTTGCTGTCGTCTGTCCAAGATGTAGCAGCAGATTTTATAGGCTCGGCTTCGGACGGCATCAAGTCGTTCTCGTCTCGCGTGTCTGCGGTCCAATTACCGGACATCGAAACCCCTCAGTTTCTCAAGGATCTCTTCGCATCAATGGAGAATGACGAGAAGTCGCGAGAAGAGAATTCACAAGGGGAGTCCTCGAACCGACGATCGCCGGGAGAGAATGCTGCTATAGCGGCCTTGATTGCCGCAACCATGTCATCCCCGTCCGACTCTATCGAGGCCGACGGAAATGTCGATTCGAGACAGAATCAACTAATGCACCTCACAAGGAAGCTTATTGAGATTAGAAGCATGTTACTCGGCATCGACCAGAGCGATGCGCTGAAGCTCCCAAGCATCGTCGTCATTGGCAGCCAGAGCTCAGGAAAGAGTTCGCTTCTGGAAGCCATTGTGGGACATGAATTTTTGCCAAAGTAAGATGTTATATTCATCGCTTATGACTGTGCTGATGATGATGCAGGGGAAACAACATGGTCACTCGCCGTCCTATAGAACTCACTCTAGTCTATACACCCGCCAAGGCTGATGGTAAGAGTCCCGAAGAATATGGGGAGTTCCCAACTCTTGGACTAGGGAAGATCACCAACTTCGCCCAAATTCAGCAAACCCTAACTGACCTCAACCTTGCCGTCCCCTCCTCCGAAGCCGTCTCTAACGACGCCATTGACCTCCGTATCTACAGTCCTAATGTTCCCGACCTCACCCTTATCGATCTACCAGGCTACGTACAGATCTCATCCATGGACCAGCCAGAAACACTTAAGGAGAAGATCGCAAGTCTATGTGAGCGCTACATCCGGGAGCCCAATATCATCCTCGCGGTCTGCGCAGCTGATGTAGATCTGGCAAATTCTCCCGCCTTACGAGCAAGTCGAAAAGTTGACCCCTTGGGTCTGCGGACAATTGGTGTCATCACGAAGATGGATTTGGTGCCACCTGAACAGGGTGCAACGATCCTCGCAGGGAACCGCTACCCCTTGCACCTAGGATATGTGGGCGTCGTTACCAAATCAGCAGGGAATAATTTCTCGTCGCAGTCCGCAGGCACCGTTGCAAAACGGAGTGAGAATGACTACTTTGGCAACCACCGTGACTACTTTGGCGCCTCATCCTCGCTAATGGTCGGCACTGATACTCTCCGGCGGCGTCTGATGGAAGTGCTCGAATCTTCCATGGCGTCTTCGCTGCACGGGATAACCAATGCGGTACAGCTGGAGCTCGAAGAGGCTACCTACCAGTTCAAAGTACAATACAATGATCGGCGCATTACTGCCGAGTCATATATCGCTGAAACGGTGGACACACTGAAGTCTCGGTTCAAAGACTTCACTACGCAGTTCCGGAAGCCACAAGTGCGCGAGAAGCTGAAGATGATGCTGGACGAGAAGGTGATGGATGTGCTGGAACAACTATATTGGCTAGATAAACGGATGCCGGAGCTCGGTGCGCTTGCCGCGGACTCGAAGGTGAAGCCTCAGGATGTGGAGGCGTATTGGTGGCATAAACTTGAGGCGGCATCTTCCTTGCTCACAAAGTCTGGCGTTGGCCGCGACTCCACTCTTCTCGTTGCTGATGGTCTGCGTGGTCTTATTGATTCGATTGTGTCCGGAGACCCTTTCACACACCACCCTCGAGCAGCTGAAAGGATAGTGCAGTTCTCGCATGTGATATTGCGGGAGCGCATTGGCGTGACGTCGGACCAGGTTGAGAACTGTATTAAGCCGTTCAAGTACGAGGTAGACGTTGATGAGCGGGAGTGGGAGCAGGGACGTGAGCGCGCAGTGGAGCTATTTCAGACGGAGGTAGCGATGTGTGAGAGCAAGTTGAAGGAGATCAGGAAGAAGGTCGGCGGAGGTCGAAGGCTTCGTAGCCTCTTGGGTTATGTCCAGGGCTTGGAGGAACAGGCAAAAGAGAGGAGAAACAGACGGTTGGCAAGAGAAGAGGATGTGCAAGAGGTGTCGGAGCCTGAGTCGTATCGGTATCCCCCAGGGCAAATTCTTGATGGTAGGATTCTACAATGGCACGTTGGACCGCAAGCTGATGATGCATTCATAGCTCGCCATGCTATGCTGTACAGTGATAGATTGTCCATTCTCAAGCTTCGCCTGGCCGCACTCAAGTCAAGGCGGTGTAAAGCAGGCCCTGAGAGTGATGTGCTATGTCCTGAAGTCTTCCTGAATGTGGTCGCCGACAAGCTTGCACATACCTCTACTATGTTCATCAATATTGAATTGTTGGACCATTTCTTCGACCAGGTGACCTTGTCAGATTAATGGTGAGACATGTACTGACGGTGTATGTTCAGCTCCCCCGAGGGATCGATTCACGTTTAATATACGACCTCGACCGCAAGGAGGTTGAGGAATTTGCTAGAGAGAATCCTGTTGTCAAGCACCACCTCGACTTACAAGAGCGTAAGGACAAACTTGAGGAGGTGAGTCTAACGATAGTATTCTTAACACATTCGACTGATGACGCCGTCAGGTTATGAAACAATTAAATAGCTTGTCCACTCTTCGGACAGATACTCAACCCGCGCCACGTCGACAACGTGGGCTTTTTGGTGGAATGTTTTGAGCTCAACCGGTCGCGGTGGGGACGAATGATATGGTGGGAGGATGAGAAGATGCGCACGGTTCAGCTGCACTGACTCGGAATAAACATGATACAAATGCGTGGCTTTCATTGGGAATCATTTATTGCCCACAGTACAAATATAAGCGGTAGTCACAACTCTACAGTTTTGCCTTGGCTTTGGCCATCTAAGGAACAAGTCAGTCTTGGTTTTAATTACAGCAATTTATATCATAGTTGTTCACCTGAAGGACGGCGGCAAGTTTTGTGGCCAACATGATATTACCTTTTGCCTTTAGTTTGCCAGTGAGGAAAGCTTTCTGACCGTCCATCTATCATGTCATGTGTTACAATTAGTGATTCACATTCAATTGAATGGACCGCTATAATACAAACCTTGCCTGAAGCGAGCTGCGAGAACGTATCATCTGACATGATGAGTGTGACATCCGCTTTGGGCGAGGCGAGTCCCTTCAGAATGACACCGTTCTTTTTCAAATCAATCGTCCATACAGCCTCCTTCTTCTCGTCGTTCGTTATTTTGAGCTCGAAGATGCCCTTGGTCTGTAAAGCATTGGGTTACACGAGTAATAAGACCTAGTATAATTAGAGGTACGCACTTTCTTTACTTGTGCTTGTCTCTCTGCATCGGTGAAGCCATCGAATGCAGTGTGAAGGTCGACGATAATGTCTGAAGCCTGAAGGCGCGTTTCCAGTTAGTAAGCGAAGACAGCATCAAGAATGAGCTTATTCAGTGACCTTGAAACCGTCAACCTTGATGTCAGACATGGGATGATGGTATGAAAGATAATTGCTGTCTTATGAGAGAATAACAGTAATAATCATATGAAACTTGTATACGTATACGTAGCAATTGAGGGTCAATTGCACCCGAACTTGCATGGCTGAGCCTGGAATCCGGCCCTGGATGACCGGAAGAATCCGGCGGTTTCCGAGTGGATTAGCAAGGTGCCGGAAAACGGAGCCTGCGGAAGTTTCCGGCACCACGCGTCCTCCAGCTGAGCGCAGCTGTTTCCGAGGGCATGTAGGAAATGGCCGGTCTGTGTCGGAAAAAGTAAACAACCATTATAATGGTGCCGGCTTACAGCACTCGTCAAGTGCCTTTTAAGGCACCTTTTAAGGCACTCGTAATTGTCTCAACTGTGAGAGGTTCTAATAATTCTCATCAGGAAAACCTTGCTCTCCTTATTTGCTCCTTATTTTTCCTTATTTGCCTTAATTCACACAATAAGGTAAATTTAAGGCTGTTTGTTCACATTTAAAATAAGGAGAATAAGTAAGTCCATCTCCTTAGAACAAGGAAAACTCCTTAAAATAAGGAAAATAAGGCAGTCAGAAGGAGGGTAAAAAGTGTGAAGTGTTCCATAAAAATACTTTCACACTTCATTTTCTACCACTGACCAGGTTTGAACTCCCAACCACACAACTCACCAGCTGAGATCACATGATCAATTCTGAAGCTCTCGAGCAACATTTACCAGTAGACTATAAGACCTTATATACATTCAGGCTGCAACTAATATATATACCATTATTCATTGGACTTGGAATAAAATCCAAAAAATCAGCAATAATGAAAAAACAAAAGTTGTTATTATGCTTAACTTTCTTAACAAGAGTTGTAGTCGGAGTCAAGGTGAGTATATCGGTAGCCTTATCTTGTCGATTGGTTATCATTTGATTGAGATATAAGCCAAAGAAATCTGAAACATCGGTGATAATGAAAAACAAAAGTTGTAGTCGGAGTCAAGGTGAGTATATCGGTAGTCTTATCTTGTCGATTGGTTATCATTTGATTGAGATACTATCATTGGGCCAGAGTTGCAAAATCTGAAGACCTCATTTTCATATCTCAATAACTACCACACATTGAGACAAAATAATTACATGGAATTATAGCTATGTGTGTCATAGGAAAGCTCTAGTTGACAGAAGAACAAAAGGTATTTAAAAGATGCTGCCAGAGGGATGCCGATGCAAGATGTTAGAAATAGTAGAGAGTTGCAAAATTTCCCATGAGCAGGTTGGCATAGATGTCACACTATGTCACAATGTCAATTTTATAAATATGAACCCCGATCCGGCAACCGGTACGTATGAGATGAGAAAGTAGCAACATTGGCATTAGGATGATTGCAGCGCAAGAGAGTCCACAATCAGAATTGATTCTCCGCTCCAACCTGTCACGCTTGAGCATTCTTTGACACCAGTGATTGCATGGTCAATAACAACCACAACTCTGCTCTATTCTCATCAGAAAAATGCTCAGAAGGTAAGGGTAGGTATAAAGTGTATGTGAAAAAAAAATGAAATTTTTTGGTTAGAAACTTCGTCTTCCCCTAACTATTCTATGCGAAACAGGTGACTTCGAGTGATAGATTTGAAGCCTTACATGTTCCTCATACTTATTTTTTTATAAAAAAAATACAATGCTATGAATCTGTGTTGGAAGGTCCTAGATCCAAGAGTAGAGGACTTAAGATGTGTTGTTGCATGAGCTATGAAGCATTTTGCAACTCTATACAATTTTGCAACTCTGGCCCAACAATAGTATAAGCCAAAGAAATCCGAAACATCGGCGATAATGAAAAAACAAAAGTTGTTATTATGCTTAACTTTCTTAACAAGAATTGTAGTCTGAGTCAAGGTGAGTATATCGGTAGTCTTATCTTGTCGATTGGTTATCATTTGATTGAGATATAAGCTAAAGAAATCCGAAACATCAGCGATAATAAATTCAGACTTTCGAGTTTCAGACTACCATATTAGACTATTGAGTTTGGACATTACTACATGTGACTAGGGACATGCCTCCTTAACCTTGCTTAGAAATAAATAAAAATCTCTCCTTTGTTCTCCTTATGTCTGCTTAGAATGAGTGATCATGTTCTTATATTCCTTAAGTCTCCTTTGCCTCCTTGTGCAGTTTACTAAGTAGAATAAGGCAAAAAAGGACTCTAATGTTTTCCTGATGCTGATGATATGTGTTATTATTAGTATGCATTATCATATTGTTTCTGAGTCCACTATCACCTTCTGTAACCTCCGTCACCTTCTGCAGCCTCCAGCTGTATTGTACATACTAAGTCTATATCTATACTTTGTTCATACTTGTATTTCCGATGGCTCCAACTCGTTCTGCTCGACGATGAGAGAAATATAGTTATTCTGAAGGGACACTAACAGGACAGATAGCATGCACTCACTGTGGCACAAAGTTCAAGGCCCAGGGCATCAAGAAACACGAGATGAGCTGCAAGAAGTGCCTGGAAACTGAAGAGGAGCAACAACAGTTCAATTGAGAGTATGAGAAAGGGCGACGAAAAGGTGCACCATCTATTACTGTGTACAATCAATTGATCATTTGACTGGTATATGTTTGGACTTCCAGAACAAAAGGCTTGCAGGACCCTTGTCCCTGGAATCGACGAAGCTGGCCCATCAAACACAGCCAAAATCACCTCTGAATCCAAGTCTGATGTGAGTAACAGTTGCACTGATGACCACGACACATTGCCTGAGCCCGAAGGGCAACTTGATTACGATGGCAATGCGGGAATTACAAGCCCAGGTAAGCGCATTGATTTCATTAATAATGTTTTTGATTTGGAGGTCGACTTATTTGTACTACAGTATTATCTGATGCAAGCATGGCCAGTATCAACCCTGCACCTGCGGCATCTGCACAACTCCCCAGTGAATTCAAAACTGAATACCATCCTCGGTCTGGTTGTCTGACTCTCTTCCAGCCCTTCAATGAATTCCGTACCTCCTCAGATGCGCAGCATAATGTGCCTATTATCAATGATGAACCGTGGCATCCCTTTAGATCGCGTGGGGACTTTGAATTTTCCGAGATTGCAATCGAAGCTGCACTCAACAAGTCCCAAATCAACCCACTCCTCAGTCTCATCACGTGCATCTCTGAAGGTCGTGCTCAGATAACTTTGAAAAATGAAGCTGATCTCTTGAAGGCATGGGACAACGCTGCAGCTGAATTAACACCAGTACGTCTTGACTTGGCCCTCTCATGTGATTATATTGCTTAACACTTTAGCTAATTAAGTGAATAGTTCTCGAAACACAAAGTTCCGGTGACATACAAGAAGGATGAGCAGGTGTACGAAGTTCATGCATGGCCTATTTGGGATTGGGCGCTGGATTTATTGGATAACCCATTGCTTGTGCCACAGTTTGTCTGGGATGCATGTTGTGTTTACAAGCGCAATGACACAGAGTTTGAGTGCTTCTTTGACGAACCATGGACTGGAGATAGGTGGTGGGACATTCAAGTGTGTAACAGTTGTCTTTTTTTAAATCAAACATATAGATTCATGCTTTGTATTTCAATGTGAATAATATCAGTCTTCTCTTCCTGACGTCGACAGCGCTGTCCTGTTTTGTTTTGTTTTGTATGCTGACAAGACGAAGTTGTCATCTCATGGTACAGTCAAGGGGTACCCAGTCATGGTATGATGTGCGAACTTACCTACACATATCCAGAATGGCGAGGCATTTGGTGGTGGCCGTGTCATTGGATGGTTGCCTATCGCGAGTCTTTTTATTTTTATTTGTCGAATATCAATCTAACTTGTGCATCGCAGGTTCCTGAGGATGCAGGTGAAGAAGGTAAACTTGGATATACAACACTGAAATGTGTTGTATGGCATGAATCATTCTTCAAACTCCTGGAGCTCGCTGCACAGTACTCGAAGACTGGGTATTTGCACAAATGTCACAATAACATTGTGCGATGGCTATTCCCTGTCATACTAATTCTTTCAGCTGACTATGAAGAACAGTAAGTCCTTTCAACATATCTTTTCTATCACTGCCATTTCCTACGATACATGTCCACCATCTTATCCATATTCCAAACCCGGTTCTACTTACAGTCGCCAACCTACTTCCACTACCACTAACTCACCATCTGATCCGTATTCCAAACCTGGTTCTACTTACAGCCTCCAACCTACTTCCACTACCACTACTAACTCACCATCTTATCCGTATTCCAAACCTGGTTCTATTACTTACAGCCGCCAACCTACTTCCACTACCACTAACTCACCATCTTATCCGTCCAATAGCTTCTTTTCGTCTTCTCTTAATTTTATCAATGTATCTTTGTTGAGAAGGCTGATCAATTGTTTAACAGATGCATGATGTCGCTTATATGTGGCCGCAATGGCAAGTGCCCTTGCCCCATGTGTCTGGTACCACTAGCGGAGCTTCACGACCTGTCAAAGACTTATCCTCTTAGATCTATGGAGAAAGCGAAGGAAGCACTTCGTGTTTATAGGCGCAGCAAAGCTCAAGGTGAGGAGCTACTGAAAATCCTTGGATTGAGGCCTGTTGAGGTGCGCTGAACCTTCTCTGCATGATTCAATTGTTCTGATATTAAGAACACACTTAGAATGTCTTTTGGATCATATTGTATTCAGATCCACATGATGCGCTCAGCTTCGATCGATTACATGTGTTGCATGCCGGTCTCTGGAAGCACCTACTTGGAGAGTTGAAGAAAATCCTCGCATCGCTTGGACGTGAAGCTGAGGCAGCATTTGAGAAGCTGTAAGTCGTTAATACTAATACTTTTTCCATAATCTCAATCATTTCGCAGGATCAGTAACTTCCCTCGATGGCGCAACCTCAACCACTTCAAATCTGTCATCAATGTCTCATTCACCGACAGAAACAAGTACCAGGACCTATCTAAGGTGAGTTTGTTCTGTCGTTTCGCGATCACACATGTCACTCATTATTTTGAAGCAAGCCTTTTATGCAGGTTTGAACATCCTAACCTCCAGAGCCTCTCAAGAGGGCCACCAACTACTTCGTGTCATCAGCACTTATCTCCAGTTGGATAGTTTGATTGGCCTCGATGTACATACCGAGGGCATGCTGGCAGCAATTGAAGCCAAACTTCTGGTTTTTGATACAGAACTTAAGGTGAAGTCCTTCCTTGTCACTTCATAGCTACACATTCATACTGACACATTCGTTTTAGGCCTATGTTACATGTGTTGAATCATCCGACATTGAGAAACTAAAGCTCAATTGGGATTTTCCGAAGACGCACTTATGGAAACACGTCGTTCATGATATTCGACGTAAGGGAGCAGCACATAATTACAGTACACGTCCCAATGAAAAGCTGCATGGCCCCTCAAGGACACCTACCACTATCGAACGAATGAAAAAGACGTTGCAGCACAGGTAAGTTTGCAGTTTCTCAACACTAATTTTAAATTGGACTGATTATGTTTTTTTTTCATAGATCCTTTGTGTCGACCATCATAAGTTTTCTCTGATGCTCTTGAGGGAACATGTCGACATGGTTGATGAACACAACTGGTTACAAGTGCTTGGTGATGATCTTCCTGATGAAGATGTTGATGTCACCTTCAATGGTCATGTGAAGATGGGTGCACCGATACAACATCCTTCATCCATCCTTGATCTTGAGAACCACAGCTCGGTAGATCGGATATTTCAAGCTTTTCGGAGGAAGTTTACTGAATTCATTAACCGCTCTCTCCCTACCTATGGGTACCAACTAACAAATTGGATTACATTTCCAGCTGATTATCAGGTATGTAATATATATCTTTAGATTCAATTTCTTATTGACTTGTCATGCAGATTCATGAACATTGCTATCTCAAGGTCAATTACGAGTCGATGGTCGACTGGAAGCAAGCCGCCAATCACCTCCGGTGCAACCCGCAATTCCACAGGTCACCACGGTTTGATCATGCCCCCATACAGCTCACTGTGGATGAAACAATATTTGTTCATTTGATCTTTCTGTTTAGATGCTGTATCTTAAACCTTGGGTCCTTCGAATTTGCCCTCGTCCAACCGTATACTGCAAGAATCAACAGTGCTCACAGAACAGACCGTTTCTTCAAGCTCACTCGTGTGAAGGCCGTCCCTAGGGCATCGTCAATATTCGTCCCACTCAATTCTTTCATTTGAGGCGCCCTTTTGGTTCCCGACCTGGATTATCAAGATGAATACCTTGTTGTCGATCACATCGACAGTGACATGTTTCTCCGAATGAAGGCCCAGGTGCCTCAGTAAATGTAAGTATATTCTCCCACTCTCTGTCATTCTTTCTTACATTGTCGCGCTACAGTCCAGTCTCCATCATTCTCCCCACATCATTGCAGTACTCTCCCACCAGTCCCTCCTTCAGTGTTTGTTGTACTCATTGGTGTTATAAATTATCTGGTACATTTCTTTCCTGTCAGACACTCCATGTAGATTAAGCACATTATACGAATAGTGCACCATGATCCCTTGCTCAATGCATGCAAGAAACTTGGACCAGCAAGCTGCATTGCTCAATGCATGCAAGAAATTTAGACCAGTAAGCCTCTTTCTCTTCGCTCACCTAACCTGACTCCATCTTACAACAGCACTCCTTTCCATGATGCATTGCTCAACACATGCAAGAAACTTAGACTGGTAATCCTCTTTCTCTTTTCTCACCTAACCTGACTCCATCTTACAGCAGTGCTCCTTTCCATGATGCATTGCTCAACGCATGCAAAAAACTTGGACCAGTAAGCTGCATTGCTCAATGCATGCAAAAAACTTGGACCAGTAAGCCTCTTTCTCTTCGTTCAACTAATCTGACTCCACCTTACAACAGTGCTCCATTCCAAGCTGCATTGCTCAACGCATGCAAGAAACTTGGACCGGTAAGCTGCCTTGCTCAATGGATGCAAGAAACTTGGACTGGCAAGCCGCATTGCTCAACACATGCAAGAAACTTGGACCAGTAAGCCTCTTTCTCTTCGCTCAACTAACCTGACTCCATCTTATATTGTAATCTCTATCTACAGGTTAAATTACTACTCTCGACGGCACGCACTCAATGCATGCAAAAAACTTGGACTGGTAAGCCTCTTTATCTTCGCCTGACTAACCTAACTCCAACTTATATTGTAATCTCTACCTACAGGTTCAATTATTACTACTCTATGGCATGCACTCAATGCATGCAAAAAACTTGGTGAGTAAATCGGCTTCTCTTCGCTAGGTAGATCATTTGATTGTGGTCTAGGCTCTCATGAGCTGCTGTCTATCAGGCCAATGGACTCCTTCTATGGTTAGAACACCATTCGTTTGTAAAGTAAGTCCCGCCTCATTATGTATTGTTATCTCGGCAAATTTTGATGCACTCAATACAGTCAACGTGTTTCTAGCAACGTAATTGTTCTGTATGCAAGTTGATGTCTGTTATTGAGGCTGTTGGCATGCCTCATGATGATATTTATAGGGTAAGTGGTTTTCTCGTCACTGTGTCTTAATCACTAACACCAGATGCCTTCCTCCTACCTAGTTTCATAGCCACAGCCTGTCGTCGTCATGCCATGCAACCCTAGACCTGGCTTGGATGATGGAGAAGATTTTGAAGCTGAAATCAATGCAATTATGTCGGATGAGTCCGATAGCTCTGACGGATCGGACAGTGAACAATCTGGGAGTGATCTCGACCAGTTGAGGTTGGTCTTGGCTGTCTCTGGTGCCGACGCCCAAATGCATGAGGTTCGAAAGGTGAGTACACTCACAATGCTAGTATCAGAGTATGTCATCTTATATTGCAACATGTGTAGGCTCTCGCGATGGCCCAGCAAGCCTACAATACGACACAATCCGAATTACATGTCCTCAAGAGACAATACCTTGCACTATCCTCTGCGGTTCCTGCTCGCAGCCGCAACTGCGTGCTCAAGAAAACATCTCCACTGGACTCCAGTATCAGCCATCAAGGTCAGAGATATGTGCTGTACTGTCACTTCTGGGTCATAAATGACCTGTTTCCGACAACACCTCAACCTGGTGTCGACTCATGCAGCACTACACACTGGACCTCTCCCGAGGCAAAGCTTAAAGGTGCCATGGCGGAACTGTACCTGTTCATACTTAAGGATCTGCACCATTCAATGGAAACCTATTCTCAGTTTGCATCCTTGGTAAGTACATAATGCTATTTCAAAGTCCTGGACCACACTGATACTTGTTATCATTAGTTTTGAGCTGCAGTCAGCTCCGAGAGGTCAAATATCCTGCACAGCATCAAGGACTGTGCAGGCATCATCTTCTCTTCTTTCAAGCTCGATCTGAATCTTTTTGCCAACCAGCCTTCGAAGAAGCAAAATGTCAAAGACCTCCTTGTCTTATTGAAGAGAAATGGCAAGGGCGACTACATCCATCTACGCCTGTACTATTTACGAAGCCCAATGCCATGGCAGCTGATGATTTTCTCAAGTCTATCGTCCTCATCAAAGTATGTACCATTGTCTAATGTATGAGTGTGTCGCCTAACTCTATTACTCGTTCTAGATTGTTCGGGTTGAAGTCTTTGGGAAGGCAATACTTGGTGGGAAGACCTGGGGCCATCCAAAGGGCAGGGGTCTGCGTATGGGCACACAGAGTGTCTCAGAGGGTATGATTGCGGGTGCGGCTATCCTGGCAAGTTTACCACATATTCCTTACTTGGTATTGCTGATCGTTCGCTCACAGGCACATTTCTTATTGACACATGATGCTGAGCTTACAGCAATTGGAGCAGAGACCAAAATCGACTACCAGAAGGACTACAACTTTTACTTGGAACACCTACTCAAAGGCATGCCATGGGCCATCAGTGTGATGGAGTATTTCAACAAAGAGGTCTTCAATACTACTACCACGCATAGCACACCTATATCTACGACACTACCTGCTGCCACGCCTCGCACCTGGGAGGATGATTTCTTACAGGAACTAGACAACTTGGACCCTGTCATCCGTCATCCTTCACCAGCCCGTTCTCTTGCACATGCACGTGCACCTTCTCCCACCCTTTCTGCCCTTTCCAATCTCTCCTCCTCGATACCTGCAGCCCCTGCTGTTATCCATGATGACCTTTCCATCTCAGCCGCCATGAATTTCACTTCATCAACTCAGGTATCCATTGGTCAGACAGGTGTCACGTCTGCTTCCACGCAGGTACATTTTGACCTCAATCAATTGTCACTCGCCAACAATGACATTGGTTCATTGGCTGCAGTGCCTGCACCTTTGGCAACAGGTTCCAAAGTACCTACTCGTCGGGGCTGCATTTCAGCACAGGCTGCTCAAGTCACTATGGCAGCCGACAAAATGCTTACAGAACCTGCCAAGACCAAGCATTGAAGGTACAACAATTCAGATGGTGAGTCTGAACAATATGTTGGGTCTTGCAGAACCTAGCTGCTATTCGACCCTAAAGGGTTTCTGGACCAGGCTCAAGGCTCAGAGGAGAGGAAATATCATAAAAACTTGCTGATCTCTCAGACTCATAGTAAAACTGGTGAAAAGGTTGATTGATTATGTAAGCTACAAAAGTGCCAACATAAGGTAAGGTAAAAACAGTCTCTACAAGCCCAACCAGAAATGAATCCCTACATCTCATGGGAACTTTAAATCATGACTGTCCCCAGTCATCTACCTATGCAAACCAAAGCTAAGCTAAACTTAAGAGAACTAACCTGGGGGTCCTCAAACACCTTTTGTTTCCTTGACGCGTATGCCAGGTAAACTGCGCCAGTGAGTGAGGGTCAGGCAATGCAATAAAACGATATCCTCCAGACTTTGCTTTTAGTACTGGAGGAGCAGCGATGCTAAAGTGAAATAAATGCGATGATGGTTGCATGGATGACGATGGGGAGTAGACGGATAGAAAGAGGCGAACGAGGGCTTCGAAATGAGTATAGGGTTGACTAGGTTTGGTGGAGAACTGAGTGAGCAATGAGGGAAATGGTGGAAAAGGGCGGAAATTGCGAGAAGTGCGGATAGTGAGGGCGCGTGCGGGCGTATCGGAATTCTGATCGGATGGATAGAAAGAGCGGAAAAATTCGGTCAGAACGCGCCTAAGGCGATGGGCGCGCGATCACGGGGCGACGAGATATAAAGAAAACACAAAAAATGGGGCGAAAAAACAGAGGGGAACGCGCAAATGCGGATAGCGAGCGAATGGCTGAGCGCGCGAAGGCGCGGATATGCGCGAATGAAAGCCATGAACGAGGGCTTCAAAACGGATATAGGGTCGATGGGGTTTCGATGCGAAATGGGCTGGTGAAAGTGCGAAAAGTGCGGAGGTGCAAGAGGGAGGAGGAGGAAGGGGTATGGTGCAGGGCAACAAGGGCTGGTCCTATCAAAAAGCGGATTGGGGCAATGGACAGAGCCACTGAGGGATGGTAAATGTCCAAAAGAGCTAGATGAGACAGGCCTTTGAGCACCCAGAAAACCCTTATCTCCCCTCAACTTCTCAAAAACACCAAAAACTCGATATCTCCACAACTACTGCTCCAATTTCGATGAGCCAGGGCTCAAAATGATCGTACGGACGTGGGTAATACGACCCTAAGTTTGCGAGAGATCCGCTCGAAAAACGCGTGGGAAAAATGCTTATCAATGCGCTGGGGAGGAGGAGAAGATGCTGAAAAGTGGGAATGTGGGAGAAGCTGGTAATGAATGACTGTGGTTGGATAATAGGCGAATTTGGGGGATGATTGGAGAGCTTGGAGAGCCTAGAAACACAAGAAACCCTCGTGGTGGGCTCCAGTTGAAGGTACAACAATTCAGATGGTGAGTCTGAACAATGTTGGGTCTTGCAGAACCTAGCTGCTATTCGACCCTAAAGGGTTTCTGGACCAGGCTCAAGGCTCAGAGGAGAGGAAATATCATAGAAAACTACTGAGCACTCAGACTCATACTGGTAACTGGTGAAAAGATTGATTGCTTATGTAAGCTACAAAAGTGCCAACATAAGGTAAGGTAAAAACAGTCTCTACAAGCCCAGCCAGAAATGAATCCCTACAGCGTGTTAGTGGGCACAGCAAGAAGGCAATGATGAAGTATGCAAAGTGATTCATTGTCGCATCATTACTGATCATATTCATACTGTTTTTCGAGTTGTTTTAGCACTTATATTTCTTTTTTCATGTATTTAGGATTAAATACACGAGTATATTGTACTTAAACGATGAACGATATACTACAAGTTTGTTGAAGTACCTTCGCTATCAAATGACTATGACCGCCTACTGCCTTATAAGGACCTTAAAATGTGCATATAGGCAATATAGTTCCCACCTATGTATTGGCCTTTTGGCCAAGGGGTAACTATGCCGGTTAATACTATGGTTCTACTTACAACTTAAAGTCTAGAGTTTGAATCCCCCCAAGTACAATAAAATGGTAATAACAATAGTAATAAGGATTAGCTAGTAATTTAATAGTGTAATAAGTAGAGTACTCAAATAACAAGGTGATGCGATTAGTAGCAGACTAGGGCAGATAGCTAAATGCAACAGAGACTTCAAAGTCTCCTTACACTGGATTCCCAGTCACATGGATATCCATGGCAATGAGGAGGCCGACAAGCATGCGAAAACTGCAGCGGAAGGGCACCAATCCAACAGTCCCCATGAACACCTGCCAGAATATCTAAGATACAACTCACTCCCCCTTAGCATATCCACTCTCATAGCAGCTCACCATCAGACAATACACGCATGCTGGAGAAGAATCTGGTGCAAGTCTCCCCGTCACAATCGTATTCATAGGATAGACCCAGACATCCTAAATCACACATTTATCAAGCTAACAACAGCATTTCCCAAACGGCTAACAGGTGTCTACTTCGCACTACGCTCCCAGCACATCCCTCTCAACCAGCATCTTCATTGTATCGGCAAACACCCGATGCCATCCTGTCCGCACTGCCCGGGAGTGAATGAAACAGTCGCCCACTATATACTGGACTGCCCACAGTATCGCAGAGAATGACATATCCTCACCTTAGCCCTGGGCAGAAAGGCATCATCGCTACTATATCTTCTATCAGACGTAGGGGCAAACCCCCATCTCACATGGTTCCTAAACATGACAGGATGACTTAGGAAAACTTACGGTGAACTCCTGCTTCCTCACGAACCTTCAGATTAATGCAGCATCTCTCTCCCCCCCCCCTCTGTAGAAAAACATTCAAGCACAAGAAGAACACGCCAGATACTATACGCTAACCCATTCTCAAATGCTCATACTGTACCATCACCCCACACCACCAAACTGTATCACAATGTACCACAAATCACTCGCCTACACAGAATCCCCATCAAGAGGAACGTAAAACATAAATATCAGAAGGCCCTCACTGTGCACACAAAGGTCCACCCACATTTACACCTGCATAAACCCAATGATTCCTGTACCAGCTCACCCTCAGTGACCAAGTACGCGTATATAAATGATAACTGTTAGCATCCCATACTCGCGCACTGATACAAAGGTCTTATCTTTAAACGGGTGGCGTGTCTAAAACGGCTGGTGGGAATGGCGGACTGGTGGAGACACGTCTCACACCAGGGCATTCGCGCACCCAGTACTATAAGGGACACAAGGGGTCCCAATAGCTTAGACTAGACTAGACAGAACTGTCCTACATAGAGCTCCGCTCTGCAAAGGACAGAAATGGAATCAAAAGAAAAAAAAAAAGGTGATGCGAGCCATCCAAAGATCACGTGGATCGTTCAAATGATATTTTTGTTTATTTTAAGATTGTTGTCAGCATTATGATGCCTTTCAAGGTCCGTCCCTCACGTGTCACAACACAGCCATTGTGATACCTTACAACGGCCAGTGGCAATCATTCTAAGGTCTTAAAATATAATTGTATGTCAAAAAATGGTCCTTAAAATGTCTACCAAGGATTTACAATGGTCCCTGGAAATTTCTGACATGTGTTAAGTCTGCGCAGACTCTGCCTCAAAGTCTGGGGGACATGTCTGGGTGTATTTTGTCGGCAAGCTCCAGGTTGTCTGACATCATCACTCCCGCCACGATCTATGCCAGCCACTGTGACACTGATCCCATCAGCCACCCCCGTCAGTGGCTAGCCACCCTTGCCATCTACATCAACCACCCCGTCAGCACTTCAGCCACCCCTGTGTCCCACTTCAGTAGGTGCAATCAACGACAAGTCTGATTGATGACATTCCGCAGGATGGCACCTGGAATACTTGGCAGCTGTAGAGCTGTAGTCGATGATATGTTGTCTGTAGGCACAGCGGGCAACGTGAAATGGCGGGGGACTGACAGTAAATTATGACATAATACAGCAGGCAGACAATCATAGACTTCCCGGCACTTTCCGGACAACTGCTGGCAGACCTGTCACAGGTGGAGGACAAGACACAATTGGATGGCTGACAGAGGATGAACTAGAAGTCATGAGGACGAAGACAACAAAGAGAGAAGGGGATCCTAAAGCTGACAAACCCATGTGATCCCAAAAAGGACACAAGCACCGGTCCAAATGAAGCCGTGAAGATCGAGTCAACAGAGATTTTTTGTGGGAGACCTGTACCCTCTTTTAGGGTACAGGAACTGAGTCTGTGACTTTTTTTTTTCAGACAAGCGATGTATATTTGTAGCAACTGATGAGGTCTAGTTCTACAAGTATGTGCTATAGTGGGGTTCGGGGAACTCTGGTCCGAGGGAAAATGCACTTACGCACTCCCATTTTCATGGGGTGTGTGGGACTCTTAGACTACCTGGGGGCCTCGTTTGCAGAGGGCCTGGGTGGTTTGATACCCACTAAAACCTCTAGGGCGGTGGCCCAGTTTTTTGGTAATGGTTTATCAGATGTAATTATATCTTTCCACATGGCTATTACTAATTTTTCAAAAGACGGTGTTCAGTCTATCTTCATTACTGTGATTCTGTCTATTTGTAGACATTTGTTTATTGTTGTTGTCCAACATTTTGTTATTGCTTGCGTTGTGTGGGAGGTACTGTTTATTGTTCTGTCGCATCGCAGCACCCAGATTAGGTATGCTGACTCTGATATTAATATTTGTAGCAGCCTCAAGGCTCCCTTTGTGAGGGGTCTAGGTTCATGGTTTGTCGGATCTTCATTGGCCGGTGTCTGTGATTGTGCGCTAATATTACCGCATCCTAGGATCGTACCTAATTTTATTTGTGGCCAGGCGCCAAAGCTTTCAGGCCATGTCTCTTTCGCCAGGGGCCATATTGTGGTACGTGCGTTGTTGTCACATTCGAGAAGTATATGTTCCATTGATTCTGAGTCAGTGTTGCAGTGTGCGCATCTGGCGCACTGTTCATACATGGGGATATTAAGCCAGTAATCA